AGTGCACGAGGGTTTCCTTTTCTCTACTATTCACCAATACTGGTTATCTCTTGTCTTATTAATACTGTCCCTCCTGCCTGGTGTAAGGTAATCGCTCATTGTGGTTTTCATTTGCATTTGCCTGATGATTAGTGATGTTGACCATCTTGTTATGTGTCAGTCACCCAACATTCAAGAGATTATGGTCTGTTTTCTTCTAGGAACTTTAATGGTTTGCAGTCTCTCATTTAGGTCTTTAATCCATTTTTATTTTATTTTTACGGTGTAAGAAGTGGTCCACTTTTTCCAACACCATATATTGGAGAGACTCTTTTTTCTGTTGTAAGTTCTTGTGCTACTTTGTTATAGATTAATTGAGCATTTAATCATGGGTTTCTTTGTGGACTCTCTATTCTGTTCCATTTATTTACGTGTCTGTTTTTGTGCCAGTACCATACTGTTTTGATTACTACAGTTTTGTATTATAGTTTGAAATCAGGGATTGTGATGCCTCCGATTTTGTTCTTTTTCAACACTGCTTTAGCTACCCAGGGTCTTTTGTGATTTCATACACATTTTAATTCTAATTCTGTGTAAAATGCTGTTGGTATTTTGATAGAGATTGCATTTGATCTGTAGATTGCTTTGGGTAGTTTAGACATGTTAACGCTATTCTACTCCATGAGCATGGTATATCTTATTGTGTATTTTTTGTCTTAAATTTCTTTCATCATTGTTTTATAGTTTTCAGAGTAGAGGTGTGTCAACTACTTGGTTAAATTTATTCCTAGGTATTTTATTCATTTTGATGCAATTAAAAATGAATAGTTTTCTTAATTTCTTATTTTGAGAGCTTCTTAGTAGTGTAGAGAAAGGCAGATCTCTGTATATTAATTTTGTGTCCTGCAACTTTACTGGATTCAGTTATTCTAATAGGTTTTCGGTAAGGTCCTTAAGGTTTTCTATATATAGTATCAATGTCATCTGCAAATAGTGACAGTTTTACTTCCTCCTTACCAATTTAGAATGATTTATCTTTCTTGTCTGATTGCTGTGGCAAGAGTGGACACCCTTTCATTCCTGATCTGAGAGGAACTTGGTCCTGAGAAGTAAAGAGTAGATGTTTTAGACCTAGCAGTAGAGCTTGTGAATTTTTTCCTTTGAAGCATGTACCCTTATTGGAGTGGTTTATTTTTGTTCACACTAGAGGACTTCGTGTAGAGGCTGTGTGCCAACTTACCTAAGTAAAACGGTCTGTGAGCAGTGGTTCTCTTACCCTCCCTTAGAGGTGCCTATTTTTTCAACCTATAATTGCACCCAGAGAATCTAATGAAGGAGACCTCTCAGCTGATTATGTGGAATAGAATTCATCTCAGCACAAACAGAATTTTAACCAGGTACTTATCAAAATTGTGTTTCTCTGTGTTCCATCCTAACTTCTGGATTATTTCAGTTTAGTTTGTTGGTGCATCTTACTCCAAGAGATAGGAGTCCCTTGATCTGAGAGTCCAGTTCTGGAATTTGAGGATTCTGGTAAGGTCCTGCACTTAAAGTGCTGAATAGCCTGACTAACCACTGATAGTTGTTTCTTCCAAAATAGAAAAAGCGCAAGTAGTTAAGCGTACAACCTTCAGGGAATTCTGCTGTTTGAAAACCTCTGCGCAGCACTTAGCAAAGCTGTTGAGCCTGGGGGAGCTCTTTTCTGTATCTTGGCAAAGCAGGGCCTGGGTTTTCCTTTGTTGGCTACCTTCTTGTTCTTTTAATGCATTTTCTTTTCGTGATGGAAAGGAGAGGCAGGTGCCCTTAAAGTCTGATTTTTCACAGCAAACCTTAAATCCGTGCATCACAAGTAGAAAGGTTGGTTTGTAGCTGCTATCTCTGTCTTCCTAATAGGCTTGTGGGTGGTAAAGATCTTAGGGAGTGAAACATTAAATATGAATGAGGAGTACTGGAGTAGTTTGTCTGAGGTAGGGGTTGAGAGGGCCTTGGTGGGAAAGGTTTAACAAAAGGCATTGATGTTTTTAAATGCACAGAAATGCCATCCATCAATAATAAATGATGTGGTGTAGAATAGATGTGCCAAATTGAGTTATTACGGCATATGGATCAGTTCATGGAAGGGCGAAAGCAAGCACTATAGCTGGTGTTTTTAAATTATCTGTTCGAGAGCTTTAGAATACAGTTTTGAAGACCCTTTTTTCATACTCTAATAGCTAATAGTTGGCAGTTGAAAACATTTGGCATTTCCAAAAATTCTGAGTTTTGATTTTTTTTAATAATTAGTAAAAATAACCAAATTGTGTTTTTCCGATAACAAGACAGAATCTGAAAATGAATTTCTGGCTCTTGACAGCTCTGTGCCTTTTTAAGAGCTTGAGTTGTAATTGTAGGAGGAATGACATTACATTACCAAACAGAAGTCGTGTACAACTGTTGCCTGGTGTTATCTGCATTCACCAGATGATTGTATCTCTAGATACCTTTTCAGTACATACTCAAAGTACAGGCAAGCACCAGGAAACCCCTCTAGAGAGCGAGAGAACTAGAACGTGGCGGGGGGGGGGGGTCAGTCTTCAGCAGGGTCCACGCTGAGTACTGGGCTCAATCCCACAACTCTAGGATCATGACCTGAGCCAAAAACGAGAGTCAGATGCTTAACTGACTGAGCCACCCAGACATCCCAAGATTTTGATTCAAGGGCTAATTCTGTACATTTGCTCTGTGAGAATTATTTCACCTAAAAGAGAAAACGAGAAACAAGAGCTTTTGCTGTCTCATAGAGAAAATTACTCCTAGGAAATTGGAGAAAAATCTGTTTGATACACTGGGGTATTTGGTAAGTGTAAAACCCTAATGCCCAAGTCCAGACTTTGAGTGTTATGTGATCTAGAATTAGGGGAGTTACTGTGAGTGCAGTGGGCGTAGCAGAAGACAGCACTGCGTGAGGTGTCTGAAATGACTCCCGTGTGGGAATTGGCATGCTTCATAACAACACTAGGCTTGGTAAGACATGTGGAACTATTCCGCTCATCTTAATATTGACCCTTGCTTGCCCGTTGAGGAGCTTGGCTGGAATTGGATCTCTGTTACTGTCTCAACAAAATAATTCCTCCTTGTTTTTCCTAGGATGAACAAAACGGTACTTGATTCTTTTAAATAATGTCAATTTAAATTTGAAGTTGGTTAGACTAGAAAGACCAGTAACTTAGCTGCTATAGAATCATTGCTTCAGTTCTTGAGTGTGACTGCTCTGGCTGAAAATGAGGACAGTGATTATATGAAAAGTTACAGCCACCCTTATTGGAGCCATCTGTATTAGCGTGCAGCTCTTTCAGGTGCAGAATTTACTTGAATTAATCTTTTCACCTCCAAAAGATCCTGGCTTGCCTTAAAAAAGGCACTTGTCAAGCTGTCTTTAGAGCCACCAAATAAATCTATTTTATAGTCCCATTAGATACCTAGCTCCCAATCCCATTCACTCTGGAAGGTCCTATGGTTGGATGCACAACAAATTTCCTGCAATCCTCTCTGGTACACCTCCTCTGGGTTGTTAAGAAGGTGTTGAAATGTGAGGAGGCCAGTAGTGAAATTAAATTGTGGGTCAGGGTAATTAGGAAGGGAGAACACCGAGCATTTTCATAGCACATTGTCTGTTGCAGCTGCAAACAACGGATATGAGTTGAACCAGTTGCTACAGTGCAGCTGGTTCAGATCTGGCTTTATAACTGGCTGAAGTAAAATAAAATGGCTGGAAAATTCCAGTCAAGTAACACCAGTGGGAACATGTGGAATTAAATAGTGTGAGTAAACGCTGGCCGGGTGGAGGAAAAAGACATCAGATATAAACTTGAGGGTGGTGGTGAGGATGTGTATGGGAGTTGGGGAGGGGGCAAACAGCATTTTCTGGCCTTTGTAACAAGGGTGTGTTGTGTACATTAGCCCCCTTGCAGGAGAGGGGAGTTCTGCTCTCTCCCAAGAAGTTTGTAGTGTGGCTGCCCTACCTTCCTCCCGGACTGACGGACTGAAGTCTCCTGATTTTTTTTTTTCCTTCAAGAAGAAAGAAAGAAAAGTACATCATTACTTCAGGTCCTGACAGTTACAGAAGTGGCAGACTGTTGTCTTTCCTTGTGTGACCCGGAGGCCCTGCCTCTCTCCATAGTCCTCTTCTTCCACCACGTGTACCAGACACGCTGAGTGTGCTGGAGGTGAAGGTTCAGTGTCTTGTAATTGTTATAAATAAGGAAGGAAAATGGGCTTACTAAAGGAAAGCTTTTGTATTATCTGGGTTTTTTTTTTTTCTGCTTAATTTGGAGAATTTAGAGTTGGCTCGAGAAAAAATTTCTGAGAAGTTCAAGGGCCGTGGTGCTGTTTGGGGAAAACATTTGCTGTAACTAGGTTGAGGGTATTTATTCTCTGCCAGTGCCCGGGACCTGCATTTGCCAAGTGATTTCCCAGTCCCAGGGATTAGCCAGTCATGTGAAACATTTGATTAAGAGACTTAGAGAAATCTTAGCCAAGGCACGATGGGTGGCTGCTTGCAGGATGGCCCCTTCCTCACCTCTGCTTCATCTCTTGAGTATTTGTAAGAAAGTTCACAATGATGAGCCCTGGCGGGTGGATTTATGGTGCAGTGAGGAACCTTTTTAGAAATCAGAGTTCTGTTGTGTGTATTATCAATTAAGCCCCTTAAGTTTCTACATACCTTAGGAGTCTTTTTTTTTTCAGAGCAATACCACCACTCAGCTGTTTGGGAGAGAAAATAACAAGTGATCAGTAAAAATTACCTGTATCCCAACAGCAACATGAAAGTTTTTCTTGATGCACATTTCCTGGGTTTGCATTAAATGTTTTTTCTAAGCCTAGAGGACTTTTCTTCCCCTTCACAGGGGCACCTTTCATTCGAGGCAGAAGCAAGCGGGCTGAGTGTGGAGATCTGTCTCCAGCCCTCAGCTGCACACGGGGAGGGATGCCTTCTGTTTCCCTGCCACGCTGTTTAAATTTGTATGTGTTCCATCCCACAGATAACCATCATCTTCAAAGCTCACCGCGAGTGCACAGATCAGAAAGTATACCAAGCTGTGACAGATGACCTGCCAGCCGCCTTTGTGGATGGCAGCACCAGCGGCGGGGATGGCGACACCAAGAGCCTGCTTATCGTGGAGAGGGAGAGCGGCCGCTACGTGGAGATGCACGCCCGCTACATAGGGACCACGGTATTCGTGCGGCAGCTGGGTCGCTACCTGACCCTCGCCATCCGCATGCCCGAAGAGCTGGCCATGTCCTACGAGGAAAGCCAGGACCTGCAGCTGTGTGTGAACGGCTGCCCCCTGAGCGAGCGCATTGATGACGGGCAGGGCCAGGTGTCCGCCATCCTGGGGCACAGCGCGCCTCGCACCTCGCCGGCGCGGGCCTGGCCTGGCTACACACTGGAGGCCGCCAACGCCCAGTGCCACGAGAAGATGCCAGTGAAGGACATCTATTTCCAGTCCTGTGTCTTCGACCTGCTCACCACTGGGGACGCCAACTTCACTGCCGCCGCCCACAGTGCCTTGGAGGACGTGGAGGTGCTGCACCCGAGGAAGGAACGCTGGCACATCTTCCCGAGCAGCAGCCAGGGGGCGCCCCGTGGAGGCGGTCATTGGTCTGTCCATCTGGGACTCACGTGCTTGATCTTTGTTGTGTTTTTGTAGGGGTTGTCTTTTGTTTTATTTTTTGTCTATAATAGAATTTTAAAATATATATTGTCATAATATATTGAGGAAAAGAGTATATATGTATATACCATGTATATGACGGGATGTTTGTCCTGGGGCACCGCCAGACTGTACATAACGTGCGTGACTGTTTTCATGTATGTTGGATGTAGTGTTCTCGGACCGTATTGATTTTGTTTTGCAGTTTTGTGAAATATTTTATAATGTCCCTGCTGGGGGACCTGTTAGAAAGCACTTTATTTTTTATATATTAAATATTTATGTGTGTACCTGGTTAGTACGTATAGTACATATACACAGACACCATCGCAGCGTCCCCGCCCAAGAGGACCCGTGACGGTGCTCGTAGCTGTTCCTGGCTGTCCACCCCTGCCCTTTCGCTTTGCTACTGATCTGTCACAGTGGGCGCGCAGCTCTCACTTGCCTCCTGCTGGTGGAGCTGCGTCCTTCCTTTGAGCGAGGAGGTCCGCGCCCACCTCTGGCCTCACTCCGTGTTGGAAGGACGGCACACTCCCCCTGACAGGCACTTTGGCTCTTGTGAAACACATCTCTAGGAAGCCCTCCCCCTCCTTCACAGCTGTCACTTTTTCGAAGGGCAGGGAGTGTATCCCTACAGTTTTCATTAATCAGGATTGTCCTGTCTGAGCACTTAGGGTCTGTGAGGTTGAGCCAGATGAAACTGCTGTTTCTATAGGTCAGAAGGGGCTGGTGATGGCAATGTCGTGGATGAATACCAGGCATTGTGCTGGATGCCAGTAGCTCTCAGACTTTTCCTCCTGTATAAACCATATCACCCTCGCTCTTCTCTGTATCATTTGTGCAAGCCCAACTCCTGAGCCGCCTTTCCTTGGCTGCTTATGCCCAGAAACACACTGCTCCCTGTCTCCACCCCCAGTAACCCCTCCTCAGCCTCACCTGACGAACCCAGAGACTAGGGTTTGTTCGATCCTCTCTTCATACCGAGGCCCAGATGCCATCACAGAGCGTGTCACTCTTGCTTGCCATCCACACCGTGGCCCTCACGGTTGCTGGCGCTGACGTGTCTATATGCATGATGGAATGAATAGGGTGTTAAATGACAGGAAAGCTTTCCGGGCCTGAGCCAATATGCAGCTGAATGGGTGCTGGGTAGCCCAGACCTTCTCACTGCACAACGTTGCTCCCCAGGTGGTCTCTCTCTAATTAGATATTTTCCCTTTTTAACATCCATAGTGATTATTATTTAGTGAGTTGCTCATATAACTTGGTAAAATTCCTATCAGGTAAAATATCTCCTTCCATTTCACCTGTTGGCACACCCTTGCAAAAGGAAAGCACCACCCACAAAACACAAGAACAATGAGGAAGTGAGTTCTAGGGCAGGTGGATTTCTATTGTATCTGTGTAAATGTTTGATTCCAAGGAGAAACAATACAATTTGTACCTTACCTTACTCAGATCTACATAAGTGCACAAAGAAATAACCACAACAGTTTGTATCCAACTTGTGCTGAGTTTTAGATGGCCAGGTAATTTCTGCCTTTTGCCATGCCCCCATCAATTAGGGTCACTGCCAGAGGTCCAAACCGGCAGGAAAGGATTTTGTTTTGTGAAATTCTATTTCTTAGTGAACTGATCTGTCATCCAATCACAGCATGGAGCTGTGGGTTCATCTGGAGGTGGGAAATGACTCTCTTTCTGATCTAGGAGAGAATCTTCTTGGGAAGTCTGGGAGAATCACAAAGGCATCCTACTTCTTACTTGGTAAAGATGCAACACCAGAGAAGTGCAACTGAACTTGTTACCCTTCTCTAAAGATGCACGGGGCCTACGTACCATGAGCTCTGAACTGTGGCTGTTTCTGTTACCATGTGCCAGTTCAGAAGCTATAGTTAGCTAGTAATTTTGTTAGGTAATTGAGTAGAACAAAGGAGGAAAACTATTTAGAGTATTTATAACCACTATTCTTGTGCAGCTTAAGAGTGAAAAGGAATAGAAGTTTCTACCGTGTCTGGCTTTAGAGTGTATATGGTTAATATTACTTTTGTCCTCTTCAGGGAAAGCAAAACCACCACCTCTACTAATAGCAACAAATTTCTGTTCCTTTGCCATATCCTAGCTGGGAAGGATGCTTCTGAGCATTCTGTTTCACTAGTATTCGTACCAGTGCGCCTGGCTATTCTCCCTTTCTTTATAATCAGTGTCCTCGTACATTTACAGCCCCCACAGACGACTAAGAAATACAGATCCTTCTCTAGAGAAGGGCCAGGCTATTTTCCGTTTCTTTTCTAGGACTTTTAGGGAAGATAGTACTTGTACATTTTGGTTCTTGAAATCCTCTTTAACCAAGAGTTTCAGGTGATCCCACCACATGGATAGGCTGTAGCTATTCAGAGGTTTCCTGGGGGAGCTTAAAACTTGGGGGGAAACACTGATTTTCACAGATGCTCCACGTGGCTGTCTTTAAAAGACTCAAAACATTTTTTTCTCCTTTTCTTCTCTTTGTTAATGCTTGGAAATTCCCACAGTGTGTCGAGTCTTTGCAAAGAAACCTTTAGATGTGGTTCATAGGTATATGAATAAGTATCTGTGTAAAACAGTGAGTGTGCAGTGTGTAAATACTTTAAATTATTATGCTAGAAAAATAAAGTTACATACCCTGCTGTGGAATGTTTGTTCTGTGATTATAGTGACACCTGCTGGAAGAGCTGCAGAATGCAGGAGCGGAAGAAAGGGAGTGCGGGGCGGGGGGGGGGGGGGGGGGGGGGGGGGGGGGGGGCTTGTGCAAAATCCTTTGATGACTGACAATCCAGACCTGCCCACAAAGGTGTATTTTCTCAACTACATCTTTACTGTAGCTTTGCATTTTTAAATGATGAGGAACTGCAAGTAAGAATCTGTGAAACTAGTCCACTGGTATGATCCCAAAGGTCTGTCTTTACTAATAGTTTTGGTCCCTTGGCAGACTGGGGACCTGCACTGTGGTTCTTTTGAGATAGCGTGGACGGGAACTTCCTTCTGGTGGGAAGGAATTGGGGGGGGCAGGAGTTTTTGGCTTTGAGCACTTGTAAATCCCCATTGCTTGGATATTCTAAAAAGAGACATCACAAGATCTCAACTTGTTCTTTGTTCAAGAAACATGCCGAAAGGTAGAAAAAGTTGAAAAAGAATTAAACCCAAAATGAAAGCAAAGGAAATCAATTACTGCTACTGAGTCAAATACTAAATGGGACAAATTCCAACTCAGGGAAACCTACATAATCATTTCTTAAATAGAAGACTTAATCCTTATACTTAGTGTTTATGTGTAGTTCAGAGCAAATAAAAAAAAAAGTCCTCTGAAACACACCAAGTAAGATGACCATGATACAGCCACTGAAAACCCAATACATACGTCTACTAAATAAACACTAAGAAATAAGCTTACAAGTCGAAATTTCTCTTTCTGTGTAATCTACATCCAGACCCCCAGCTTTTCAGGAATTGAAATTTGAGGAACTGTCCAAAAACCTAACAAGGAGGTCTTTATTGTTTTGAACCAGAAACTGTGACTTTAACAAACATTAAGATTCCTGTTACTGGATTGCTTTTTAGAGTTTGTTTTGGTAGCCACATTTAGCATTCTATTGCCTGAAATCAGCTGGAATACCAGAATCTTGGATTGCTGCAGTCCTTTCTGAGCAAATATACTTTAGGGGAACAGCGAGAAAAACTCAAGCAATCTCTTTGTATGTGTCCTAAAGAGCATCTCCCTGCATCAGAAAGTTTAATTAAGACATTAAAAAAAAAAAAAAAAAAAAAAAAGAGGAGGCAGTTCACAGTTCCTTATCATTTGACTGCCTAAGCTCACCAATGGATAAGGCATATTCACATTATTTTAAGAATATTTTTCTCTGAACTTACTGCTCTACCTTCACCAAATGTTTGACACTATCAACAAATAATATCAACTGAATATTCAGTCCTTTGTACCCATAATATGAGGTATGTGCTTGTAGTGCAGAAGTGTTTGTGTTTCCTCTCTCTTATGAGCAGTGTGTAGATTTATAAGCAGAGTGGGGCATCCACAGCCTAGGAGACTACACTAACAGATCCAACACAGATGGAATGAGCACCCTGTCTGGTTACAATGATTTTCAAACCAAGTGAACCAACCAGGCTGGTCAGCTGAAGTATATTAAAGTCAGGCTACCAAACTCCAAGAAAGCAACACAGCAAAGTTTTCTAATTGACACTCCTCATGGATGACAGTTCTAGGACACATTATTATTATTACAGTAATGAAAAGTCCAACTCCAGAAAAAGAAAAAAAAAATAAGTACTCTGCCACCAGATGGAATTCACAAGACCAAACCATACACAAATTAACCAAGTGGGAATTGCACTTTCCATAAATGACATATTTTTAAAAACATGATTATCTCAATCACTAATGTAGCATTAGCACCCAAACATATAAAGCAAATATTAACATGTAAATGGAATCTTGACAGTAATACAGTGATAATAGGGGACTTCAATACCACACATCAACGGATAAATCACCTAGACAGAAATACAGTAAGAAACCTTGGCCTTCAAAGACACTTTAGACCCGATGGATTTAATAGATACATATAGAACAGTTCATCCCAAACTGCAGAATAGACAGTGGGTTTTTTTTTAATGTTTTATTTATTTCTGAGAGAGAGAGAGAGAGAGACAGCATGAGCAGGGGAGGGTCAGAGAGAGAGGGAGACACAGAATCAAATAGGGTCCAGGCTCTGAGCTGGCTGTCAGCACAGAGTCCGACGAGGGGCTCGAACCCGCGAACCATGAGATCATGACCTGAGCCAAAGTCTGACACTTAACCTACTGAGCCACCCAGGTGCCCCTAGACAGTACTTTTCAAGTGCATATGGAACACTCTCCAGAATAGATTACATGTTAGGCCACAAAATAAGTCTCAATACATTCAAGAAGATTGACATCATATCAAGAATCTTTTCTGACCATAACAGTATGAAACCAGAAATCAATTACAAGATAGAAACTGGCAAAAACCAAAAACACATGGACACTAAACAACATGTAACTGAACAACCAAGTGTCAATGAAGAAATCAAAGAGGAAATCAATACCTTGACATAAATGAAAATGGAAACACAATTTACCAAAATCTATGGTATGCAGTCAAAGCAGTTCTAAGTTCATAGTAGTACAGGATCACCTCAAGTCAAGAAGTGTCTGGCTGCAGCTCAGATAATTGTCTGATGGCTCATGAGTATGAGCCCCTTGTCAGACTGTAGACTGATGGCTCAGAACTCGAGCCTGCTTCAGGTTCTGTTTTTGTCTCTCTCTGCCCCTCCCCTGTGGCTGCATGCTCTCTCTCTTTCTCTCTCTCTCTCTTGCTCTCTCTCTCAAATATAAATAAACATTAAAAACACTTTTAATAGACACATAGAACGATGGAACAGAATACAAAACCTAGTAAGAAATGTGCACTTACGTGGTCAATTAATCTACAACCAAGGTGATTACCATATATAATAGGCTCTTCAACAAAAAGTGCCAGGAAAACTATAGAGCTACATGCAAAAGAATGCAACCACTTCCTTATATTGTGCACAAAAACAAATTCAAAATGGACTCAATACCTAAATGTGAAACGAGAAACTATAAAAATCCTAGAAGAAAACACGTCTTTACATTGACCATAACAACATTTTTCTAGATATGCCTCCTCAGACAAGGGACGCAAAAGCAAAATTAAACTACTGGGACTACACCATAATAAAAAGCTTTTGCACAGAAATGTAAACAATCAAAAAAAAAAAAAAAGTAAAGGCAACCTACCAAATGGGAGAAGATATTTGTAGATGATATATTCAATAAGGGATTAATATCCAAAATGTATAAAGAACTAAGAGAGCTCAAGACACACACACACAATTAAAAATGGCGAATCCCACAACTGATAGCATCTGTTACCTACTGGATCCAAAGCCACTTGTTTGAGTAAATAAATGTGTGACCACAGGGAAATCCACTCTGGCAAATTCACTGATATTGCCATGGTGTTTCAGTAACAAACCTGGGGACCAACTTATCTTACAATACAGGCTGCTGCAGCAGGATTAAGCCACAGAAGGCTCTAGAGCAAAAGAAAGTAGGCAGAGGAACTGAATAGACATTTTTCTATTTTTTCAATGTTTATATTTATTTCTGAGAGAGGAAGAGACAGTGTGAGCAAGGGAGGGTCAGAGAGAGAGAGACACACACAGAATCTGAAGCAGGCTCCAGGCTCTGAGCTAGCTGTCAGCACAGAGCCCGCCGCGGGGCTCTAACCCACGAACTGTGAGATCATGACCCGAGCCGAAGTCGGACACTTAACCAGCTGAGCCACCCAGGCGCCCCTGAATAGACAGTTTTCTAAAGAAGATATCCAGATGGCCAACAGACACATGAAAAGATGCTCAATGTCACTAACCATCAAAGAAAAGCAAATCAGAATCACAAGGGGATATCACCTTATACCTACCATAATGAGTAAATTCAAAAAGACAAGCAATAATAAGTTTTGGAAAGATAGTCAAGAAAAAGGAATTCTCATGCACTACTAGTTGAAATGTAAGTTGATGCAGCCTCTATGGAAAACTGTATGGAGTTTCCTCGAAAATTTAAAAATGGGATCTGGTAACATGATCCAGTAATTCTACTACTACTTACCCAAAGGTAACAACACTAATTCAAAAAGATAGATGCATTGCTAGTTTTATTGAAGCATTATTTATTTACAATAGCCACAATATTGATGCAACCCAGTGTTCATCCATAGATGAATAAATAAAGAATATGTGGTATATATACACATAGAGTATTATTCAGCCATGAAAAAGAATGAGACCTTCAAATTTTACAATAACATGGAGGGACCTAGCAGCTATTATTCTAAATGAAGTAAGTCAGAAAAAGACAAACACCATATGGCTTCACCCACATATGGAATTTATGAAACAAAACAAAGAAAAAAGAGGAAAAAAAGCAAAACAAACAAACAAAGACAACTAAAAAAACACACACACACACCAGACTCTTAAATAAAAGAAAAAAACTGGTTGTCATGGGAGGGGAGATAGGTGGCAAGATGGATGAAATAGATAGAGGATTCAGAGGTGCAAACTTCTAGTTATAAAATAAGTAAATCACAGAGATGAAAAGTACAGCATAGAGAATTTGGTCAATAATATTGTAATACTTTTGTATGGTGACAGATGCTGACACACTTGTTGTGAGAGCTAAAGTATAGAATTATTAATTATGTTGTACACATGAAACCAATATAACACTATTAATTGTACTTAAAATAAAACATGGAGATACCAAAAATTCAAAGTAAAGATGAACCTAGGAACAAATTTAACCACGAAGGTGAAAGACTTAAATGCTAAAAACTGTAAGACATTGAGAGAAGTTCAAAGACAACACAGATAAATGGAAAGATACTCTGTGCTCACGGACTGAAAGAGTATTGTTAAACGTTCATCCTAACCAAAGCAATTTACAGATTGAATGCAATTCAAAACAATTTATCAGTGCCAATTTTCAGAGAACTAGAACAAATAATCTTAAAATGTATATGGAACCACACAACACCCCAAATAGCCAAAGCAATCTTGGAGAAG